TATCACAATTATTTTAGGGAATTGGATTCGATTCCAAAATATTAACATATACATAGTACACTAATTACTCGATAAAATTGCATTCCATCAAATTTGAATCGTCAATATGGGACTAGTCCATTTTGTAGAGATAGAAGTCTCTTAGATTGGAGGTCCCTAGTTCAAATCTAGCCATAGAATCGTCAATGTGGGACTAGTCCACTTTGTCTTATTTTAAATTATTTAATAAACAAAAAATCTCTCTCTCTCTCTCCAAGTTCATATTCTCCAACCAAACCACCCGATTAAAGTCCAAAAAATTAATTATGGTCATAAACAAAAAGAAAACAAAAATGTTTGAATGCCCATATGAGCTTACTCTTCCGGATCCATCGATTCCTTCCTCCGGTCACTGCTGTCCACCACCAAATTCACCAGTTCATGTAGCCGCTCATTTTTCACGTACCACTCCACAAGTCCACTCAAGTTCTTCATGTTTTCCAATCCATCCATAGTGAATGATGCATAACCAAAAAATGATGAAGAATAGGGGATTTTCAGTTCCAAAGACGATAAATTGTATTAGTGATTGCCTGTGATGGTTGTTGATCGAGATGGGTAAAGAAGGTGGACAAGACGATGAACAGTAGACGTTGTCCGAAATTTCTTCACCTTTCATCAGAAAAGCCCCATGTTTCAACCGCTTTCTTGACCTTCATACACAATTTCGAACCCAAATAGAGATGTAGATGTCCTTGGATGAAAATGGGATACAAATGGGTTAACATCGGATTTGAAAAGCATTGGTGGTGATGCAGGTGGTAAAGAGCCACCATAGAGGGTGGGGATTTGTTGTTGGTTTTTAGAAAACTCATCGCCTCCTTCTTTTTTCTATTAGAAACTCCATCTTCTTCGTTTAAACTAAATTAGGCCTAGAGTACAAGTTCTGAAGGAAAAGGGGGCAAGATTGGAAGAGGACCAATGAGAAGATTGAGTTAATGAGAAGCTATAGAAAAAATGAAGTTATAGTGGATGTTCTTGCATCAAGGTTTGATCTTCACATTAATATGTTAGTTTTTTATATATATTATTTTTGAAAACTCTATTTGTTGGTTTGGATTTGTGAAATACGCTTAATTTATGGTCGTTCTATCATTATAATCAAGATTTTGTGTTCTTTTCTGTTGAAAAAAATGTAATATTCATGTTCGGGTATGTCTCTTCTTAAACCTAAGTGAAAATTCCTCTCTTTTGGCCTTTAAGCTAGTACGCGGGGCGTACAAGGTGGTACACTTAGCATACTAGCCCGGAGTGATTGCACCTTTGGTCCACGTATGTTGGGCGTACATAGAGTACGCATGGCATACATGTGGTTAATGAAACCCTAGTTTTTAGGGTATTGCACCCTATTTAAGCCTTATGATGGCCTCATTTGGTTATGTTTAGACAACATCCATCCTATCCTTTCTAGAAATCGAACCCCTAGTGAGATCTTGAGAGTTTTGAGCCATAAAGTGTGTTTATTGGTGCTTTGTGAATGTGATGAAGAAGTGAACAATTTGGAGTTGTGCTTGGAGCTTGAGGATCTGAGATTAGTTCATCATTTGCTATCTTTGTGAGGTAAAAAGCTCATATCTTGCTAATCTATGATGCTAGATCTAGTTTTGGTGCCATTTTGTGCTTTTTGAGTCCTTGGAATGATTGTTGAGCCTCTTCATTCACTCCATAAGTGATTGATGGTAGATATAAGGTTCTTTTGGTCCCTTTGTCCATAAAAATGCAAGCTTTGAGGTGTTTATAGACTCATGCATGTGTTAAGACCCTTTGTTAAGTTCTTTTGAGCCATAAAACCCCATTAAGCCATGCATGCACGTAAAGTTGCTAACTTTATGTGATAATCCACCTTAAGGCCCATGAAGGGATTTGGTCCCAATGGAAATTTGGGCCATAGTTGGGCTTTGGGTGATTATTTTGGAATTTGGGCCTTTTAGACAGTTGGATTGGGCCTTGGCCTTGGGCAAAGTTGGATAAAGGGTAAAAAGGTCTTTTACCCTAGTGTGGGCTCTTAGTGTGAGTCGAGATCCAATCATTAATTGGATGTTATTTGTGATTGATAACGCGAGGACTTTAGCGGGCCAGCAGCCAGAGATTTATCTGTGAGATTCAGTAGTCTGAGGTGAGTTTCCTCACTGTGTTTAGCGGGACGAAGGCACCAATGTCGGCCCATGATTACTATGATAGGATGCTAGGTGTTTGCATGACTCTTGCATGTGTTATGTGCTGGTATGTATACTGAGCGAGGCTTGATGTCGGGCAAGGCCCGGTGATTGTATTGTTTTGTGACTATCGCATGTGTTAACATGATTATATGTTATATGTTTATTATGTGTACCGGGCGGGGCCCGATGTCAGACGGGGCCTAATGAATGGCAGATCTGTAATCCGAGCAGGGCTCGATGTCAGGCGAGGCCCGAGGCCGAATGGGACTCGATGTCGAGCGAGGCCCGATGTGGGGCGGGGACCCAGTATGTGTTTATTATGTATGTTATATGGTATTTTGGGGAACTCACTAAGCTTTGGGCTTATGTTTTTCAGTTTATGTTTCAGGTACTTAAGGATCGAAAAGGAAGAGTCCGGTATGATTGCAGAGCACACACCACCTTTTTCCGCATTTGAGATTTACTCAGATATGTTATGATGTAGTGACATACTTTGGTCTTTTTGGGTTGTATGAAAATGTTTTGGATTACTGTTTTATAAAATTAAAAATGAAATTTTTGGGTCTTAGTTTGGGGACGTTACAACAAACATGGAGATTATTGAATGATCTTTTGTTTAGATCACGTTTTTTTCTATCTAGTGATATATGGATAAATTGCACCAGTTCCAGATTGCACAAAGTCCATAACCATGTATCAAAGTTTTATTTCTTTCTTCTATATTTACAACCAAGGTAGCATGACCCACGACAGTGATACGCGTTTATAGGTAACTTGTTGATTCGATAACCTATAATAGGAGTTAATTATCTATCTCATCTATGGTTGGTAAAAAAGAATCAAGAACAAAGGACCGACTTTTTATTTGTGTGTGTTCTTCAAAAAAAATTCACAAACCTCATTTTATTGGATTGAAGGTGTGGTTCACATAGAAGATGGGAGAGAGAGAGAGAGGGGGAGTGAGAGAGATAGATAGAGAGAGAGAGAGAGAGTTTGTTTATTAAATAATTTATTTCATTTTTTTTAAATAAGACAACCTCAATTCATAAATGGTCAATGTGGTAGTGAAATGACGAAAAAGCCCTCGTATTATTTTAATAAAGTGTGAGTTAATGGCCAAAAACTAACGAAGTTAGCCAAAATGACCTTTTACTTATATGTTTATACATTTCAAACATTTACCACAAACTACGTTTGAACTTTAAACATATGACATATTTTCATAAATTCTTGATATCGGTATCCTAAAATTCTTTTTTTTCTTTTAAATTAGATAAATTTTCATAATTGGTTCTTGTGTTTGCAAAATATCGCACTTCGCGAATTTTTATGGAAAACATTATGCCACTGGTCCTTGTGGTTTTAGTTCTTGCATGGTTGGTCCTTCAGTCAATTAAAATGACTTTAATACCCTTTTTTTATTAATTACATTTAAAAATAAAAGAAAATAGTAATAAATATACCCACCTAACCTAATCCCACTCATACTCTCTCTCTCTCTCTCTCTTTCTCTCTCTCTCCCTCTCTCCCTTTATTTCTTAATCGGAGAACTAATCTGCCCAACCCCTCACCTTCACTCATATTACCTTTCTCCCTTTACAATGGCTACCGATCACCACCCATGAACATCCACCCCTTCCATTGTTGCAATACCACCATGAACCCTCTTTTCACCTTCCTTTCTCATAAACAGAAAGGAATAAAATGTCACCTTCTTCCATCCCCTTCCTCTGCTCCCGCCATCACCCTTCCTTTACCACCTTATACCATATAGAGATGGTGGTTTCAACATCACTTAAACCAATAATCATTGTCCCCCCTCATTCGTCACTCATCTATGCCATCATTTTCCGTATTCTTCGGTGTTGAACCCGATCCACCGCCATTGTATTTCTCTAATTTTGGGTCGGTCGCTTCCATCCCCAAATCCCTACGTGATGGCTTTAGCAATGGTCTCAAGATGAAGGCCCAATCTGCATAAAACTAATGTTGAACCTGAGAAACAACTTTTTGTTTCAAGATGTCATGAATGTTTGATGATGGAGGTACACATCGAGAATTATGTTGAACTCATACATGAAGAGGGTGAATCGATAACGAACAATTACACATATTCTCATCTTTGTATAAAAGTCAATTTGTATAAGAATTTGAGTCTCCATCGATTGTTGAAGACGTAGGCAGATTACCACCCTTCCGACAATACTGTTGCCTAGAGATGAAGGCGACGATGAGAGAATGGAGAAGGGAGGTCACCGATGATGTTAGAAGGAGTAAAGACGGAAACAAAGGTCCCTTGTGGTGGTTCTGGGGATTAATTCCAAATGAGGGTTAACATTGGGAAGATGAATTCAATGAGGTGGGAGCCAATAGAAGGGGGGGATTTGGTTTAATAGGTTTTTTCTGTTTTAAAATAAAATGGGGTTTTATTTAATTTATAATAAAATATAAAAAATAGAAACCAATAAATATTTAGTTATGGGTAAAATAGTAATTTTATATCAAACATAATCAAACCACAGAGACAAACCATGCAAAAATTGAAACCATGGGGACCAATGGTGTGATATTTTCCATCGAAATTATACAAGTGTTATATTTTGCAAACCACAGGGACCAACTATACAATTTTGTCTAAAAATTATGTATGAAAATCTTTTAGAATGTAATATTTAAAAGTGGAAGGACTTGATTGCAAGTTTTCTTAAACATAAAGGTCCTTCATGCATTTCTAAATTCTAAGCATTACTTCTTGGTGGTCTATAAATAAACTCCATCGCGTTTGATCTCAAACAGCGTACACATAAACCGAAGGAAATATGTTTCCAAGCATGTTATGTGGAGCATGCAAATCTCATCATAATCACAGGTGCAATTTCATTATTTTCTCGTATAAACATTTATTTTATTTAGTCATTAATGCAACAATAATTTTTGTATCAGGAATTTGAAGATGAATAACTTAAAATCATTGGAACCGATATCAAATATCCGGTTTCAGCACTCCATTCCATTGGACATGGATCCCGATAACATCTTGATCACCACTATTTCGTCAAAATCGAATAAAATATTAAACAAGTAAGAGTTAATAATTTTTTTGAATATTCCCTCTATGCCAAATAATAAATGATTTGTATATAATTTAAAGCAAGATTTTACTAAAATATAAAATTCACAAGCGCTCATGCATGTAATGTAACATAAATTATCATTATAAGTTACAGTTCCAAGTTTTCTTTCATATAATATTAATTTTTTTATTTTATTTTATCCGGAAACATAACGATCATGCAAAACATGTGCTACTTTTGATATCGAAGTAAATTTTATAACAAATTTTAACATTACAAGCTTCATAAATCTACATCTTTTTGTTTCAAATTAGATTTAAATTTTCAATTTTTGGTTGAAGTGCATTTTTCTAGACAACTTATGATACGGTTAAGCTATTCATTTAGTGAAAATAAAAAACATACAATTACTTTATATATTATACAAGTAGAATGTATGTATTAAATTTACATAAACTATTTTTTTGACATCTTTAGGTTTAAATTTATAGCATTATTTAGTAAAAAGAAAAAAAGCATACAATTACTTTATACAAGTAAAATGTATGTATTAAATCCAATGTATGTCTAACTGACAGTGGATTAAAAATCTCACTGTGAATGTTTTGTTGACGTTCAACTAATATTGAATTGGATAGTTATTGAGCTGTTCAATAAGAAAAACGTAACTTTTAGATTATTAAATACTATGATAAAATATACTGTATTTTATAAACATATTTCAACAAAATATATAAATAAGTTATAAGTAAGGAATGAAAACATGACGTTTCAACAAAATATATAAATAAGTTATAAGTGTCGTGACATGCCGTGTGTGGCTTGTACCGTATCCAGGGCCGGTCCTAAAAAATGAAATATTCTTAAAGGCCCAGGACGAACAAGAAAAAAAAGGGCCTTATTTTTATTATAATTTTATATTTTTAAATAAAAATATATAATAAAAAAAATTGAGCCCTGTGCACTGTCCACTTTGCCCCCCAACTTATCACTATCAACAAAAGTTTACATCGTATGATTTCTGAGATCGCGATACATGAATTGATAATCTTTTTACAACCCAGTCGAAATCTTCAACTACTCCGAATTAATTGCTTGATTGGTTGTTTTTGACAGAAACGGCGGAGGGTTTAGGAAGATGGCCAACAAGGTTTCTAATTTCTCCGACATGATCCACCGTGTCACCGCCTCCTGTTTGCTCCACCCACTCTGTTCCGGCAGCAACAACACCGATGACATTTCGGAACACGATACCGGAGAAGACGGTTCTGAAGAAGAAGGCACGTACAAGACTGAAGAGGGAAATGAAGAAGAAGATGCAGAAGAGTACTTGGAGGCTGCGGTGGCGATGGTGGAGGAGCAAAGTGGTTACAGAACCAAGAAGGAGATTGAAATGGTGTTGTTAATGGGTGAGGTGTTTGAAGCGGTGTCATCTATGAAGACTGCGTATGTTAGTCTACAGGAGGCGCATTGTCCGTGGGATGCAGATAAGATGAGGTTATCCGACGTGGCGGTTGTGGCTGAGCTGAGGAAATTGGGGGTTTTTAGAGAGAGGTTCCGGCGGAGTTTCGGGATGAACATTGACAGGTCTAATAAGACGGTGTCGGGGCCGACGCTGAGGGACGTGGTGGCGCCGTATGAGGCGGCGATGGAGAAATTGAAGATGGAGGTGAGAAGCAAGGAGGCGGAGGTTGATAACTTGAGAGAGAAATTAAAGACGGCCACCACCATCAACGGCAGCGCCGGAAGGAAGTGTAGGTCTCATTCGCATCAATCAAAGAGAAGAGTCAGCTGCAGTAGTCAATTCCAATGTCCATCCACCGTTCCAGTTTCTCCGGCGCCGATGGTGGTGCCGGAGCTATTCGAAACATGTGTGAAATCCGTTAAAGAAGGATCGAGATCCTTTGCGTCACTACTCCTCTCGCTCATGAAGGCGGCACATTGGGACATCACAGCCACCGTCAAATCCATCACCGGCACTAACTCCGCCATAACAGAGTCCATTGTCGGACCAAAACAAGCCAAATACTCACTCGAATCATATGTAAACCGAAAAATCTTCCAAGGATTCGACCACGAGACATTCTACATAGATGGGAGCATATCTTCTATCCTAAACCCTAACCAATTCCGATCAGAATGCTTCACGCAGTACTCCGACATGAAATCATTGGATCCGATGGAGCTACTTGGGATCCTACCAACATCCCAATTCGGAAAATTCTGCTCGAAGAAGTACCTTTCAATTGTACATCCAAAAATGGAGGAATCGCTGTTTGGAGATTTAGAACAGCGACGGCAGTTGTTAGCCGGGAACCATCCAAGGAGCCGATTTTACGGCGAGTTCTTGGCGCTGGCGAAGGCGGTGTGGCTGCTTCATTTGGTTGCGTTTTCGTTGGATCCGCTGCCGAGCCATTTTGAAGGGAGTAGAGGGGCGGAGTTCCACCCGGAATATATGGAGAGTGCGGTGAGGTTTCCCGGAGGGAGGGTAAGTAGCGGACTTATTGTTGGGTTTCCGGTGAGTCCAGGGTTTAAGCTCGGAAATGGACATGTCGTAAAAGCGAGGGTATATCTTGTACCTAAGACTGAACTTTAGGCGAAGATTTGAAATATTCAACAAAACAATAAACAAAAAAAATAAAAATTAACATGTATCTTGAATAAGTATTTAGTATATTTTAATTTCTGTATTAATTGTATTTTAATTAGCTACTTTGTGTAATGTCTTTTTTTTTGGTGCTATTGTTGTCGAATTTAACAAGTATATTTTTTATAGCACAATCTCAATCAATTCATATGAATGTATTATGTATGATATAGTGCGTATTTAATATTTAGCCCAAAAGCCCAATATTCCATAACCCACCGCCAACGATGAAAAAAATTGTGGCGGGAATACATTTTACTATAAAACCCAAAACCCTTGCTACCCATCTTGACATTTTGGTTTCCCCGCGTTTTTTATTGAGCCCTAACCCTAGTTTCTCAACCGGAAAGTTCATCTGTCGCCGGAAAAATGTTGGAGCTAAGGCTAGTTCAGGGGAGTCTCCTGAAGAAAGTGATGGAGTCGATCAAGGACCTGGTCAACGATGCCAACTTTGACTGCTCCGCCACCGGGTTTTCGCTTCAGGCGATGGACTCGAGTCACGTAGCGCTGGTGTCGCTCCTTCTTAGATCCGAAGGATTTGAACACTACCGATGTGATCGTAACCTATCTATGGGCATGAACCTCAGCAACATGTCCAAGATGCTGAGGTGCGCCGGTAATGATGACATCATCACTCTCAAGGCCGACGACGGTAGCGACACCGTTACTTTCATGTTTGAAAGCCCTAGTAAGTTGCTGTTTCAATTCCTAATTGTGTTCACCATCAATTTGATGGTTTTGTTTGCATACCTTTTAATCAGAGTTATATAGCTTGTATGAAGTTTTTGTCAATTCTCTGAAGTTATATCATGTCAATGACGAAGATTTGGATTTATAGATGCTAGATCCTGATTATATCTTATTTTAGAAGCTAAAATTCGAGAGTATTTTCTGCAGCTCAAGATAAGATTGCTGATTTTGAGATGAAACTGATGGACATTGATAGTGAGCACCTTGGAATTCCTGAAGCAGAGTACCATGCCATTGTTCGAATGCCTTCAGCTGAGTTTGCAAGGATCTGTAAAGATCTCAGTAGTATTGGTGATACAGGTAGCTCTTTCGTCCTTACTTGGATGTGATTCGTTGTCTCTACTCCTGGTTCTTTGAATCAATCAAAGATTACAAATGTATAAACTTAAGAAGCTGATTTTGCTTGCAGTTGTGATTTCTGTGACGAAAGAAGGTGTGAAGTTTTCAACAAGAGGTGATATTGGAACTGCAAATGTTGTTTGTAGGCAGAACACTACAGTAGATAAGGTATGTATACTAACTACTCTTTGTATCATAAATAGTTTTAGAATGAAAATTTGTTAAAAAGATGAATTTGCAGCCAGAAGAGGCGACAGTTATTGAGATGAATGAGCCTGTGTCTTTGACATTTGCATTAAGATACATGAACTCGTTTACAAAGGCAACTCCATTATCGAGTACTGTGACAATCAGTTTGTCTTCAGAGCTTCCTGTAGTGGTGGAGTACAAGATTGCAGAGATGGGGTACATTAGGTTTTATTTGGCTCCTAAGATTGAAGAAGATGATGAAGAGAACAAATCTTGAATCAACAAGACACAAGTGAGCTGTGAGAACTAAAATACTAAATGCTTTGTTAGTTGTTTGCTAGTTGAAAGTATATTGTGTACTATGTACTCGCCTGAACTTAGCCAAGTTTTCTTTATGCTACTTTTTTTTAATCATTTTGTTAGGATTTTTCAGGCTTATATGAGGTGTATGTTTTGTTTTTTATAAAATTGCTACTTGGTATTGGTACTCTTATTTCTACCACATTTGAATCTGTTTTTGTAATTGAAGCCGATTTTTGTATTCATTGTTTGGGATTAAAGCGTTTTAGATGAATTTGTTCTAAGTTTGACTTTTACTTCAAGCTTGGTGTAAAATTCACATGAATCAACTTATCTCATTGATAGAGCCTGTCAGCCTGGCCAGGGTTGTGCAAAGAAAACTAAACACCAAAAGACTGAACCTTTTTAATAAGCAAGAGTTATTGTTTTTTTTTTTTTTTTTAAAAAAAACAAATAACTTTTAGGTTTGACTTATTATATAAACCAAAAAACCTAATCAAACTAAAATACCCAAATGATGTCGTTTTATATACAAAGCTCAATTGGTCAAGTATGTTACAAATAATTGTCATGTATTTATGGTTTTCATTAAAAAATAAAATAAGCATTGTTAAATTGTTGTGTTATTTTTTTTAGTATATAACTTGTTTCTTTTTTATGAATTTTCAACATTTTTAATGAAGAAACCCAAAAATAAAAATAAAAGAACAAAAAACTTAAAATTGAAAAACGAAAAATAAACCGAAAATGGGCTTTAGATTGTAGATCCAAACAAACATCTTCCTTCTAGCTATGCACAATAACCGTGGTTCTAGACCGGTTTCGGTTTCGAAACCGTATGGTGTTTTTAAAACGGTCTTGTAATGGTCTGGTATTTTTTCAGACCAGTCTCACGCTAATTTTTTTTTGGCCAAATTGGGACTGGTCTCGCGTTCTTTGCATGCCCCTTTTCAGTTTAGTTTTGGTGGGTTTTCGGTTCGGTTTTGAGTTTTTTCGAAGTCAGATAACGTGTTATTAAAAAATATGTAATGAAAAACAAAAATTATATGTAAATAAACTTTAGCTTCGGTTTTTTAGAACGGTCTCGCATCGGTCTTGGAATGGTCTGATCTTTTATTGAAACCGGTCTCGGAACGGTCTATTTTTTTTTCAAATTGGTCGGTCCCAGATGGCCTTGGGCTGATCCGGTTTTTTCTTTTTCGAACCTATCTTTTTTCGGTCCAGACTCAGTTTTTTTTTTGGGACCAGTGCGAGACCTGTCTTTTTGTTTATGTCTATGTTTCTTCTGTCATTTAAGCCGCATAAAGATTATTTATTATTATTATTTATAATATTATTGTATTAGTTGCAAAAATTATTTAATTTTTAAAAATCAAGTCAAATTTGTTCATTTAATTAGTACCTGATTTGACATACCCCATGTTTAAACTCAAATGTGCTATATAAATTATATAGCCCGGGAACCTTAATAATAGTCGAGTCAAAGATCCAAAAACATTAAACAAAGAAAACAAAGAATACCCTAGTTTCTGGTTTAATCAATCGTATTTTACACATATTATATCATTTATATGCTTGTGCAGGGAAAGGGTAGTAGTATAATGAGTAATAACAACTTGAAGGTAACAACATGTGCAATTTATAAATGACTAAGATTGGTTTCAGTTTTACATGAAAATTTTGTTTACACAATGATAACACAACACAAAACACTCCTCCATACAAATCAGATCTAGAAAAGAAAGATTATGACACAACAAACTGGTATCGGTATTACCTTTGCATTGAAAGTTGAAAGTGTTCAGGAATGCCTCCAGTCGTCACCAACATATCTTGCTTGATCCCCAATCTCTTCTTCAATTCTAATTAACTGCACAAAACTTGAGATTATTATTAAACCCCACATATCCTCCTAATATTCTGGAGACTCTGGACTAAGTGCTTGTTTCTTTTTTACTCAATGTGTTAAGCACTTAATCTCAACAGCTACACATGGCCATGGGTGTTAATTTTTTTGACTTAATTTGGACAGAATGACTAAAAAAAAAAAAAAAACGAACCTGATTGTACTTGGCTAAGCGCTCTCCTCTACAAGGTGCACCTGCTTTTATCTGACCCGTGCCAAGACCCACTGATAAATCAGCTAAAAAAGAATCATCTGTTTCTCCACTTCTTTGTGATATTACCACACCCCAGTTACCATCTTTTGCCATCTTCACTACTTCAATGGCTTCTGTCACACTCCCAACTTGGTTCACCTGCATGTGTGTGTTTCTTTACAAATTATTCTTAACACTTAACATTCATTTTTGTATACATCATTTTCCCATTTTGTCCTTGTTGAGACGTGTTTTTACTTTTTACATATTTAACTAATACTCATTTAGGATTTTTTTTTATTTATTTAACCTTGAGAAGAAGTGCATTGCAAGCATGTTCTTGGATGGCTCTTTCAACACGTTTAGGATTTGACATCAACAAGTCATCTCCAACAACCTGCATATAAAATAATAGTCATGTAAGACATTTAATGGTGTGTTTGGTTCGTGGATTCCGATGGAATTGGAATTCAAGATTCCATTTAATGGTGTGTTTGGTTGCCAAATGGATGCAATTCATTTTCATCAAATTCGTGTTTCATGGAATTCAATTACATTCTTCCTCATTGTAATTTGTCACCGAGTATTAGCTGTTTTTTTTTTTTTGAGTTCTAAAAAGTTTCTTCTTGCAAATTTGGTCCGTATTGAGTTTTTTGTAATGTTATTGGTCCCTGTTCCAAGAAAAATGACTATTTTTGGGACAAAAAGTAGTCATTCTCACTTGGAACAGCAACCAAAAACATTATGAAAACTCAAATAAGGACCAAAATTGTAAAAGTCAACTGTAACCAGGGGACCAAAAATGTAATCTACTTGAAATTATATTAAAAGTGAAAACTTTAGAAAGTTAATCAACTTTTATTGTTAAATTCAGTTCAGTTTCCTTCCAACCAAATGTGTAACAAATTACAATTTCTTCATAATCCAATTCTTTCCAAAAACATACTCTAAACCAGCCAACATAATAAGGATTCATAAACAAACCTGGCAAATTCCAAGCCCTGAAAAATACTTCACTTGTTCCCAATCCTCCTTGTCAAATGGATCCTCGATAGACACAATAGGATAGTCTAAAAAACCAAAATAAGTCAAAATTAATGAATCATTGTCTCATAAAACGTGACAACATGTTCATATACCTCTACATAGTTCCTTATAAATCTCAATCATATCTTCTCCTGATTTAAAGTTTTGTCCCGACTTTCTTGGAGATTTGAAATCTAAGTCATACTTTGAACCTAAAATCAAGAGTAATATAGATGTCAAGTTTTTTTGTTTTGTATTTTCAAAAACTATAGTTAAAAGAGTTATAGATTTGTAATATTACCTATGCAAAAATCAGTAGCAGCAATGTCAACTGCAATCTTTAGTTTATCAATATACCCTGTTCTACCAATTGCCTCCATAACAAGATCTAGTCCTTCTCTAAAGCTGCAAAAATAGAATACCAAAATCATAAATTGAGGTAAAAAGATCACATCATATTAATCAGAAGACAATAGACATGCCTGGTGATATCAGGAGCAAGGCCACCATCTTCACCAACATTACATCCATGTGCACCATATTTCTCTGCAATAACAGCCTGCATTTCAACAGATAACAATTTTTTAAAAAGAAGATAGGATGAGAATGACACAATGGATTGGTATGATGAGCAACTCACCTTCAAATGATGATATGTTTCAGATCCCATTTGCATTGCCTCCTCAAATCTTTGTGCCCCAACTGGAAGAATCATAATCTCCTGATCATATTAAAACAAAATTCTCAGAAGATTTAACTACATTGAGAAATGGGAATTGATCACATATATTAATATATAAAACATCAGCTTACTCGTATAGCCAAATTGTTCCCAGCATGTTTTCCTCCACTTATTAGAGTGAAGGCAGGAACAGGAAGAACATTGCTTCCTCTTCCAGAAAGTTCAGCAATATGTTTGTAAAGTGGAACATCCTTTTCAGCAGCTCCAGCTCTGCAAGCAGCAATTGACACTGCTAATATTGCATTTGCTCCAAGTTCACCCTGGATACATCATAAATGATTAAAACATATAAGATGATACCAGAAAAAATGTTATAATTGCAGTTTGGATAGCTACCTTTTTCTCAGTTTTGTCCAGATCTATCATTGCCTGATCAATTTGGTTCTGAAGGATTGGATCCATGCCAACTATAGCTTCAGATATCTTCTCATTGATATTCTTAACAGCTTTGCTCACACCATTTCCAAGATATGTGGATTTATCTCCATCACGTAACTCAATAGCTTCATACCTGTATTATGTAACAATTAAGGATCATATATATGTATTTACCATCTTGTATTTAAAAAATATAGACTAATTATAAAGAATTTACATTCCAGTAGGAGCACCACTTGGAACAGACGCTCTGAACATTCCTTTATTGGTATACAAATCAACTTCAACAGTTGGAATTCCTCTACTATCAAGAATTTGCCTCGCTTTAACCTTGGTTATCACCGAAGGAACAGCTTTCCGCATATGATTAGACTATACATAAACAAGCAAATTAAATGTTTAGGATGATAATCGACGTGGTTTTAAGGTTAGTATAATCTTCTTATGACAATAATCGAGCTGATTGCAAATTCAAAACTTAAGAAGTGATTAGAAAGATTAGAAAAAGCTCACAATGAATAGAACGGGATCGGGAGTTTTTGCCCTAACAGCAGCATTGACAGCGTCTTCAATCTTCCGAGAGAGCGTGTGCTTATCTAGATAGTCCTGAACTGACATTTCAGCTTATGGTGTAACTACTATGGCTACTGCTACTGCGTACACCTCGCTCAATGGACCTCTCTATTCGATTACTCTTGGACTAAATCGGATATGGCAAAATTTGCAGAGATCGGAGAGAATAACGTCTGGGAATGAAGAATTTTTCCGGCAGGTTAAAACCTAAACACCATGCTGAAATTCGAATTGTTTCCGGAGAGTTGTGCTTGTTGGATTTGACTCACAGGTCAGAGGTGCAAAGAGTATTCCTGTCTTTCATGTTCTAAAATTATTTTTAAGTTTTCCTAAAAACTTAAAAGGGGAAACAAACATATATTTATTTTTATTATAAATTTATACTTTTTTTTGTTGTACTTTCAACTTTTTTATCAGAATATTGTATATTATTTATAAAAAAATATTATAATAATGAGATTTGAATATAATGACATAATACAAGTTAAGATATTTTTTAGGCAATGTTTGCAAAAAGAAGCTATATTTTGGGAGCAAATATAGTCATTTTATTTGAAACTCAAAAACAAGCAGACACTTATACTTATAGAAATACATGTAATTTACTTTATTTTTTATAATAAAATGTCCATATCATATGAGATTTACACCATTATTTAATACAATCATGACATAGAAGAGTTAACGTGTAAAATTCCATATAGAAGAAGGTCTATGGTTCATTAGTAGTGATTCATGATTTATGGGTTTTGAAAAATATTCGGTATAGACCGTTCATATAGTACACTTTTATCATTTTTTTAGGACATGACCCAAGTTGATATGTTTTATATAATGTCATGTAACTTTATAGCGGAATGTGGAAGTCCTAATCTCTTTCATATCCTTTTCACTCACTTCTAACACTTTCATACTCCATCTAATGAACATAATAACAATCTTTTTTTTCGAAAGAATCCAAAATAACTAACTTATTTGTGAGTAAACATCAAGATTGCAAAATGGTTGAATTCTATTTTTATATCCAATTTGTCCATTTTTTTGAAGTGATGGAAGTTACAATTAGTGATGAATGCAAAATCATCTGGCTTGTGCTTCCTTTTTCTCATTTTGGCTGCAATTACTTTTTAAATATCCAATATGGACAGTTTTTATAATAATAAAAAATACACTTTCTATCACATAACAATGACATTACATAAAATCATGCTAATTTGTGTCATGTCAGGATAATTCAAATCTCAATGCTATAATGGGTAAAATTTTGTTGTAATAAGGAAACAATGCTATAATTAGGAACTATAAGAAACTACATTGTTGTTTCTTGCATTTTGCCCAACATTATGCCCTGTTGTTTCATCAAGAATTTATTGCCAAGTAATTTATGTTCCGCCGAATAACAATAAATGACCATTATAACATTTGTTTAGAATGAATCTTAAACACAAACAAGTGTAGAATATTTCCCCTTTCTTTATGAATATTAAAAAATTTGTAAGATGATTTTATAAGAAGTGGAGATCTTTATGATATATTTAACTTAGTTGTATGAACACATAAATTACATGATACATGAGCTCGTGTACAATGAATTTATGGAATAACAAGTTTTTAATCTCAAATTGTTAAAACAGTCCAAAAATTACTTAACCACAAAAGCACTCGATGAGCCACTAAAATGGCTAATGGAACCGAATAGACTTTTAGATGCACCAAAATGGCTCACCCTATAAACCCCGGGAACAGTTGATTGTGGGATCCGCCATTCTATAGTAGCATGACTTTGAGCACTAAGCTTTGAAGGCCTTGACCACTTAAACCGAAGGCAAATATCATCATCATCATAAACCGGGACCCACGTGTCCTGCCCTTGAAGCAACTCCACTAAAGCAAATGTCCCTTCAGTCATGAGATCGTTTCTAGGGCACGCTGACCAAAACACAACGGTCAGCGTGTCACCTTTTTTAAAGGTGGAATTTTGAGGGACGTCAGTACTGACATCCCCGAATTTGACTCCCAGTGGGGTTGAGTCCACCACCACGGGTGGTAGCAAGCCTATCTGCTTGCTTAGTAGATCCGGTGGTGGTGGGCCCGCTTCTACAGTTTTTCCGGTGACAATAGCGGTTGCGAGCTTTGTGAACTCCTGAATGTAGGCGCTTAGAGTATGCGGACCGTATAGCGTAGAAGCTCCCTTATAAAAAAACATAAAATATTCATGGTCACTTATGCACATACAATTTTGTACTTTGTTTGACGTACATTAGACTGAAACCGATGTCAATAGATAAAAATTGTCTGAAACAATGAGACAAAAAATTAAAACTTTTTGTCCTACCCAAAAAGGCAAGATTTTTTGTCCTACCAAAAAAGGTGGGATAGGTGTGCAAAATACGGGAATACCCTCCTCATTCTGATCATGGAAAATAGTCCTAGAAAGCTTGTCGAGTCCCCTTGTAACAAATGTAAATTTATTGAACAAATCATCAATTAAGTTACCTCATATCTTTGCATCTCATACTCCTCAAAAGTGGTAATATATTGAGAGTAGGTATTAGTTAAACCAGCTATGACAACATGAACTTTTCCTTTAAAAACAGCACTAACAGCATCACGCAATCGCCTCCCAGCCATAGTTGTAAATTCTGTTATTTTTCAACAATGTTATAATTAATCAATTTAGATTTAAAAGTTACAAAAAATTTAAAAGTGTTTGATTATTGTTTAAATATCTAAATTGTTCATCTATCATATACCTCCAGGTACACTGAGAATCACCATCTGCCCTATCTTTAATATTTGAACTGGGAGAATTGATGGCTGTCAAAGACAAAAAAAAAAATGTTATATAAATTCAAATGTTACCATTTTTGTAATTTTATGGGAATTTTGAGAAAAAAAATATGATACTCACCGCCCAATCATATGGCACCTTCATTTCTCCTGTATCAAGCAAAATAGGCTTTGGCTGTTGACAGTCTTTTTGCTCCTGACTTGGTGTTTTTAGCAAGTTCCTCACCAATTTCCAAAATGGATTCCCCTAAAAAGTAATTTAAAATTTTCAAATATACTTGTAACAAAATTGAAAAAACTCATAAAACCATGATTCGTTTTAACTTACAGTGTTGTCCCCTTGCTTAAAATCAAAAGCCCCAGGCCCATCAGTTGTTCCAGCTGCAAATGCAAATCCCATGGCAGCAGGACATGTTTTAACACTCTCATTCCCTCCTTTTTTCACCACAAGCTGTGAAAAATCCAAATAACTGTGACGAAAATCAATCTTTCCATTTAACTTTTCAGCAGCACTGTTAAAAAGATCAGCAGCTTTCTTGAATTGTCTCTCCCCAATTATACGCGTGCTTTCAAATTCATCTGGGTATCTGTCATTAATTGAAAAAATTCAAGATTCATACATAAAATAAAATAAAAAGTTAAAAACACATCAAGAGAAGGATTATAATGTATAAAAAAATAAAAACACAAACCCTGGTCCTCTTCCATAACACAACTCATTCTTCCCACCACAAGTACTATGATTAAAATCACAGGGTACCCCAGTATCTGTGCAAAAAGCCCCAAGCACATTTGGACTCACATCCCCACAATTCGATTGACAAAAAGCAGATACAAATATCGGCCTATCTGCAGATCTAAGAACACTTCTAACACGTCTTGATATGCTCAAATACTTGGTTGTTGGTTGACCTGAAGTTGACTGAAATGAAGAAGCGAGTTCCAGCAACTCATGGTCTGTATAAAAACACCATAAGATTAAAAATAAACAATTTTAACTGGTAATTATTTTAATAAACTTACGGTTTGTTTGTGAAACTTGAACAATATTGGAGACTCTTCGTGGGTTTTCATTTTCACTAACACGTTTCTGATTGAACCAATCTTCCATGAGGCGTGCAGCTGTTCCTTTATTGTCCCCACTGATTAACTCATTTGTACGACTCATTGAAGTCCCATGAGTAGCAAACCAGTTAAAGGCACCCACTGGACCCCACTGATCATCTACAAACTTCAAAAGTGTCATTTCTTTATCCACATCATACTTGTACTTTGCCCTTTCTGTTGCAGGATTGTTAAGATAAGAGCTAGGGCTACGATTCACACCCGCATCCAAGATCTCTCCTGCAAGTTTTATACCAAAATTATCATATAAATAAATGGCCCACAGTTTATAATGGTAACAAAAGTAAGATATTTTTACCTTTGTTTACAAAAACTGATCCAGGATGAAGGTTTTCATGAGCACGAATGATGCTTTGTTCAATGCCATCAACTATTACATCAAAGGATTGGCGTACGAATCCTAAAGATGTAACAATATACACCACATATTGCAGATAACCTCCAGGGCCTGCATGGGTGTGTATACCACTAATGGCAACGTTCTTTTCTGTGTATAAATCCCCATACCTATAGAGCAAAAAAAGATGTTTTATTTGTAACTAGCTATAAAGACTATAACTTCATCACCAATTATAAGTTTTAAGAAGTAAAGATAGAAGTATAGAACATTAGAACTACAGTAAAGTATTAAAATACCTTGCCTTCAACCTCTCTAGGACTTTGATGGTTATAAGCTGTGAGGCCATGCAAGCATCAAGATTTACAAATACCACACGGTTTCCCTGTGGCTCTGCAACAATAAATGCACGAGCTCGCAGCCGAAAATGGATGCCAGATGCAGTTTGATCTGAGTTTGCATAGCCCATCATGTTGACATCAGCAGCAGGCCCTGTGATGTCATAGCTTCCAAGTCCTACTAAGTAATTAGAAGCTGAGATTGTTGTTTTCCCATTCAGTACACAAACTAGTAATAAGATCCAAAACCATGCAATTGAATGTTGTTTCTGGATGAGAGCCTGAAAGAACTCCATAACAACTCCACCAACGTGTAGAATCTAGCTCTCTCTAGGTATTTCTTCACTGAAGATAACAAAATAGGAGTAAAAGTTATTCACATAATTGAATGGGTGAAACCAATCTTAACTTGATATACATGCCCTAGATTGGCTAGATATCATATCATACGTTCATAACACATTTGTATACATATTCTCAAAAATCAATATATCTCGAATAGGTAACATCATGAAGTCACAGTAAAACCAGAGGAAACAATTAAGTTTAGTACCAAATTTGCAAGTTTCCACGACAAACAACATCAAACAGCATGAGCACTGAACGGAATCTATTAACAACAATATTCAATCATCCAGATTTCCAAAGAACAACACCAGTCAACCAAGGCAATTGCACCATGAAACCGTTATAATTTTTGAATCATCATCGATAATCTCCGAATAACAAAAAAAGAAAT